GGATAAATTAGCAAAGTCATTAAGTTAGTCTGCTTGCCGTTCAGTTCATTGTACCATTAAGTTAGTTTGCTTGCCTTTTATTTCATTGTATGTTTTGTTTTGTTTAAAAAAGTAGTTGTAATTTATGTATTTTATTTTATGAGTTGTATTCATTTTCTTTTAGTGAATGAAGAAAATATTCAACAACATTCCTTTTTATTCAAAACATTCCATACATAAAAAGCAAACCACAACCAAAGCATAAAAAATAAACAAACCACAACTAAAGCATAAAAAAACAACAAAGCATAACTAAAAATACAACATAAACATAATACATTAAAAAAAATCTTCACTTTACTTTATTGTCCTTTATTGCCTTTCACTGCCCACAAATGCTCCATCAAGTCCATTTGACGGTGTTCATGAATATATGACGATTGCATCTCTGTGTAGCGCTCAATCATCCGATGCATGAAACTACCGTCTCTAACTAACGGATCATGCTGCACTGGTTCTCCATTTGGTCCCATAGGTTTTTTATAAATTCGTGTTAAGGCTGTGTTCATGAGATCTGGTTCATAGACTTCATCAGCATCGTAATCATACTCATTTTCCACAATCATGTTGTGGAGGATGATACAAGTCATCATTATACTCCTAAGCACCTCCTCATCAAATAGACGTGCCGCTTCCCTAATAATTGCCCACCGGGCTTGAAGGATATCAAAGCACCTCTCCACATCTTTTCTGTACCCCTCTTGATAAGCAGCAAAAAAAATTTCCTTGTGGGATCGGGGATGTGGAATTGATTTCACAAATTTTGTCCACCCCAGGTAGATACCATTAGCTAGATAATACCCGTTCTGGTAGACGGTATTATTAATTTGATATGTGATAGTTGGGCCTTCACCTTTCAGAACATCATTGAACACCGGGGATTGACCCAGGACGTTCAAATCATTTTGAGAGCCGGCAACTCCAAAGAAGACATAACAAACCCATGTATCAAAACCAGCAACTGCTTTGAGGATAATGCTTTTCTGCCCTTTCCGATTCCCATAATCCCCTTGCCAAGAAGATGGACAATTTTTCCATTGCCAGTGCATGCAGTCAAAGCTACCAATCATTCCAGGAAATCCACGAGACTCAGCTTTTTGTAGAAGCCGTTGCAGGTCCCTGGGCGTGGGTCTGCGCAGGTAGTCCCTGATGTACAGATTTTCCACTGCATCACAAAATCGCACCAAGCTCTCCAAAATAGTGGACTTCCCCATCTGGGCAATCTCATCCACCTAACCAGCAGATGACCCATACGCCAACATTCGTATCACAACTATGAACTTTTGCTCGGGAAGCAACCCTAAATCTCCAGCACAATTTTTCTTTTGAACAAAGTAGTCATCATAATTGCAAATATCATGCATGACTTTATTGAACAAATGGGGTTGCATTCTATATCTTACTCGAAAATAAACATCAGAGTACAGAGATTGTGGGATAAAATAATCTTCCATAAGATTCTTACCCCGAGAATGTCTATGTCTATCCACATTTGATGTCTGGCCTTCTCATGAACCACGGCGGCTTTGGTTTTCTTCCTCTAGCAAAGCAACGGCCACATCAAGTTGCTCATCTAGTTCTCTCTGCGCCCTTTTGTTTGCAGCTCTTCTACTCATTCTTGCTCGCCTTTCTCGCTCTTGCCTCTCCAAAACCTTTTCCATGTCGTCTGACATTGCGAATGGAGAATGAAATCTAAAATATGAGAAATGAAGATGTAGAGAAGATATGGTATG